AGGTCAATGGTCTAACGACTACGGCATGCACGACTATGAGTACACCCCCCCCCCCCCCCCCCCCCCCGAACCCGGCGCACCCAGCGCAAACGACTGGCAGGTGCGGCCGGGGGCGATGGCGGGCTTCTTCACGACGGTAGGCCACAGCGCCTGCTCTCCCGCTGCGCTGCTCCTCTCTCAACGGCGGCCGTCGCCGCCGCGGGTACGGTCGCCGCCGGCCGTCGGCCCCGCCGCTCCCGCCCGGGTGGGCATCCAGCCGCCTTCCACCGCCATTGTGGCGGAGGCGGCGGCGGAGGCGGAGGCGGGGCGAGTGGCGAAGCCCACGGCCGACTCCGAGAGAAGGCAGCAGATACTGGGGCACTCCCCTGTGTGGGGGAGCGGCGGTGGCGGCGGCGGCGGCGGGGCCGAAGGAACTCCTGCGGCGCTGCCGGCGGCAGCAGTGGTGACGCGGGAAGGGACAGTGCCTGCCGTAAGCCGAACAAACGGCGGTTCCGTTAGAGATAGCAGCAGCGTCTCTAGCGGGTGGGATGTTGGTTCGGCGGGGGGCGGTGCGGCTGGGGACGGGAGCGGCAAGGAAGAGGAAGGCGACAACAGCTGGGGCTGGTGACATCCAAATAGCTGAGCGTGTGAATGACATGTGGCTGACAAACGGGGAGGGGTTTAGACGAGAGAGATAGGCAAAAGGCGAGGCAACTGGGCGGGCACCGAAAGGTGGCGGGCTGGCTCCAAGCGGCAGCAGTGCGTCAGGTGACGGCTCGACTGCGAGAGCTGTCCTGTTGACTACCGCCTGGGGGGTGTCTTTTGTGTTCTGCCTCGGCGCTCTTCCACACGATGAACACCAGAGGTACAGAACCCGTTCGTCTATATTCCTGTGGGTGTGTCGCGCAGCTAGCAGAAGCATGTGTGCGTCGTTTTGGTATCCCGGTCAATTGGTTTTAGCATACCCCCTCCAAGGTGTAGAATGTATTTGAAGAATGATGGTATCGTTTCCAACGGAGAAGGAGAAATGCTTTTGTGTTTTTGGTTCCATTCCAATTCCGGTTGGCGCAGTTCATTTTCGAAGAGACGTGCGTTCGGGCACAACGTAGGCGGCCAGGGCAAGCTTGGCTGCGATGAGGCCGGATCGCGCTGCCGCCGCGCCGGCCAATCGCCGGCCCCGGTTTCGGGTATATACCTGCCCTCTAGGGCAACCCTGTATTGTTGTACCGCTCGCGATCGCCAGGGCTTTGTCTTGCTCCTCGCTGTTTTTTTTTTTTTGCTGTCCTCTGGTGCCGTGCTATATTGTCGTGTGTGGTGTGAGGCCCCGAATATCTTATTCATTTCCTCGTTCGCTAGCGACATGGTGTGTTTCTATGGTGGCATGCGCGCCCTGTGGTTGCCTATCTGTCGCTTTACGTTGTACGTCCATGCACCGCTGCTCTAAACTTGTGTTTTTATTTGTCTTGGCCGTGCGTGCCCCCCCCCCCCCCCATCCCGGGGGAACCCCCCGCGCCCTTTTTTGGGTTTGGGTTTTGTCAATTTCCCTTTTTTTTAACTCCCCGCCTGGCCCAAAAAAACTAAACCAAAACCACCCCCCCCCCGGGAACCCCTCCTGAATTCCGGGCTTCCCTTCCTCCCGGGGAATTAAACCCAAACCCCAACCAAAAGGGGACCCAAAACCTGAGTGGAAAGGGTAACACAAGGGGAACCCGAATTTCCCCCCCCAACAACAACCCTTCAAAACCTTTAAAAAAAGAAACGGGCCCCCAATTCCAATGGAACAAGGGCTTGAATGGGTGTCTTGGAAAAAAGCCAAAAGGGGCGCGCCGCCGGAACAAAAAAAGTACTTTGCTTTTTCCCAACCAGGGGGCGGCGTTCTTCTTCCGAAGGGGGGGAACGGTACCGAAACCCCCCCCCGGTGAACCAAAACTGGTTTGTCAAAC